TCATTTACGTTTTTGAAATAAGATTCATGTATATTATATAACATGGAAATTCTATATTGAACATTTGTACAATATACATGTAAACGTAAAATTTTGCCTTTTATGGTTTTTTGCTAAACTCTTTACAATAATATATCAAACAAATAATGACAGCAACTTAGTTATTACGTAAACGTTGTACATTAATCAATTGGTATGTCAATCACATTCTCCCAATTTCAAGTAACAATTTCCTGGGATCTTAAGACTAAGTAAACATAATTGTGAAATAACAAGTGCCTCTTAAACGTTTCATTGATTTCGAAATTATTTTGTCTGAATCATGCATTTACGTGCTCAATATTCAATGTCACAAACGTCATTCAATGATTATGCACGAATTTGTACAAACAAAGGGAAAAGAGTAAATTTCTAAAAAAAAAAATTATACATTTATTAATTTCGCCTACAATTTCCAAAATTTTCCCTTTGTTTGATTTAAAATGAATTGCAATTAAAGTCGTGACGTATGATTGCATTGTGTAAGAAAAACATCCACAATAGTTTATTGTTTTTACAAACGAGTGTTCTATATTTTACAAATATTTTCAACAAAAGATAATTATGTTACGATGATGTATAGTAAAAACAACGATTGTGTCTATACGACAAATACTTATCTAACAAGAGACTTGACGGTCATTATGTGAAACCTTATTTTTCATTCAAGGCACATATTCGTCAGAAGCAAAGAAAAAATGCGCAAACATGGTTTGAGGCAACACTGTGATATAAACTACTTTTGAATACATAAATAAATAAATAAGTTAATTAATTAATTAATTAATAAGAATTATTTTCCTTTATTTATAATTGTTAAGAGGTCTTCTTCACAAACTCCGAATAAGTGATATTTTAGGCCAACTACTGGCGTGGTTTCAGGACTATCATTCGGATAGAAAACAGTCTGTTGTTCTGTCTGGTGTATATTATGATACTCGTTACACAGTAAAATTCTGCAGGAGTTCCCAAAGCATCTTGGTATATTTTTTAACGGTGGCTCATGGAGTTCCTATATAATAGGTGTCCTAAAGAGTTAACATTTTAAGATCATTTAAATTTACGAAAATCACTTGAATATGTCTTCCATCCGCCCGATGCACACAGGTACAAAATTACATTTCACGAACAGGCCGTTTCAATCTGACATGGACTTGACCCTACTATTTTAAGACATACCGCATGCTTAGTGTTCAACCCATTTACAGTTGGACGCTACGCTTTCCTCTTTTGATTACATCTGACGGACCAAGTGGGAGACTCTATGAAGGACAGTTCTTAAAATAGAGAAAAACCTAATCCCTTAAGAAAGTCCAACACAAAAAAAATTGAAAATGTTGCAGGTTCGGTTTGATTGAGCTTGTTCATAGACGGTACTGAAAAGTGCAAGTTACCGTCCACGCCCCTAGCACCGGCTTAAGCAAAATTCAACATTAAACACAAAAACGGTGAAATTTTGAATTCAGAAACATGCGCAGATGTGTTCATACGGCGGTTTTCATTGAACCTTCCATGTGACACAGAAGTGTCATTCCATGGAAAGCGGCGTATGGTCCCAAAGTAAAAGAATGATTTTGCCCTAAACGAGAAAACAATGGGCGGAACTAAATAAAATTGAATTTTGAAAGGGGATCCAAGGTTATGAAGCCTGCATGTCACAGATATGACGTCAAAAGACAAATTTGAAAGCAGGCAACATATCCTAAGGGTGATTATACTGTAATCAAAAAGGAATATTGGAATCACCCAAGATGAAAATGGCAAAATAGAACAAACTGAAAGTACCATATAATATGTATATAAAACAATAATGTCGTGCTTAACAATCCTAAAGGATCAAACATATAACATCATTGACTTAAAGCCCTTTGGGACTGAATTGCCTTTATGTTCGTCTTCCGTCTTGCTTCGTCGGGCCCTTGTATGTAATCTTTTTGTTGCTCTATCTTTCTTAAGACATTGAGTACTTTTGTTATGGTCAATGGGTTTACTTTTGTATGTCTCTGCATGAGCATTTCGATGTTCTACTTATTTCAACGCCGCCTTTCCTTGTTGATCTTATTCATCATATTTTGACCCTTGCATTAACTATTCTCCCTTTCTTTCTGAAGTTCTTTATCTTTAAAGGTTATTTAAATATTAACTTCTGAACTGTATACTCCCCTGACACTTTTAACTAAATTGCACTCTACTTACTCACAATTTCATTCTTTCTTTTTTTCTCTGTCGTTTTCTTGAAAATATTATTACATAATGGCTTAGCGTAAGTTTATACCTTCCACCTCTATTCTGATAGATAACATCTTAAGTTCAACTGTGCATTTTTGTAAACATTGTAGTTTTGTTTAATTTTGAATCAGTCTGTTAATATTTATGTGTACTTTATATGATACATAATGTTAACAATCTATTGAAATTAAATTTCTTAAACCAAGTGGGCTTCATGTACTTGATATATTTGCCAATTTTCAATACCATATCTTATATTTTCATCAGTGGCAACAGTTGTCATTAACCGGTGACATGTCAAACGAAATCGAAAAATATATCTTGCAGCTATTATATGAAACCTTATTTATCAACGCTTGTAGATATTTGATATAAACGTGTCTTTGTTAAGGGAGTTTGATTGATTTAATTGCCCTTAGCTCATGCTTGGCACCTTAGCATGGCAACCTGCAGATGTCAAATCACTAACCATATAGAGAAGGAACACTAAATTTTAGTCATGCTCACTGTTAGACTTTCAATTAATTGACATCGTTGCCTACGTTGCTCTAATGGTTGTGTAAATATTTTGCAAACTGAACACTCTAAACATTTAAATAAAAATCAAATTGTTAATTTAAAATTTTCTGATTACAGCCAAATTTATTTTTAGCATCATGAAGAGAAACATAAAATATCACACCTATTGGATATCATTATACGTTTATCAAGACCATGTTACTTTTATCACCACGTATATAAAAACACAATGACGGTTATTGACATAAATAATAACAAATAGTTCCCATGTATAAAATTGTTACTTAATATAGACAAATAACAGGTTTATTTTTTTAAAATAACATCCATCATGTATAAAATTGTTACTTAATATAGACACATAACAGGTTTATTTTTTTAAAATAACATCCATTTTGAATTATCTAAAACATTTTGTTCTGCAATCAACAATTTTGTGTTTATCAGTCATTTATTAAGTTATAGTTGCAATCAAAATAATTTGAAATGGAGGTGAAGTATGGGTTAAGCGGTCAAACAGAATAAATATCAAATTAAATAATATTAGAAATTTGTTTAATGCTTATAGCCAAACAGTTTGATTGAAAATTATCAGTGAAGTGTGAGCATTTTTTGTGTACATAGATAATTTATTTCCACAGAGGAACTAAAAGTACAATGCATGTTATGATCCAAATGTAAATTTAATGGATTGGATTATAAAACTGCCTAAAAATATTACTGATATCAGAGTGAAACACAATTGTTCGACAATAAAATAAGACATTGCGTGGTACGGTAATTAACATAAAGATAAATGCTTATGGCGTTTCCTGTTAACTGATATAACACAATTATTTCATAGTTATAAAGTGCAAAGTGTTTTCCATGTATCAGCGGTGTAACTAATTAATTCTTCAACTAAATATTTTATGTCAGTAGGTAAAAATAGAAAGTATGATCAATAACATGTAGGCGAGGGTAAAAAAACCATGGATAAAAAACTTTATTTCATGCTATAATTGCCTACTGGTTTTTATCAAATATAAAATGTATTTTCTTTACTATGAACATATAATCAGTAAGGATTAAAAAGAAAGTAATAACATTTCATTTGTGGTGATTATGAAATCCTACTTTTCACAGAAGTATTTCCAGTCCACTTATGCTTGTGTTTTATTTTTCCGGTCTCTCAAAGTAATAATGTAATATTATCGACAAACCGTAGTCAACTAATATATCAGCTCTTTATAACTTCTTAAATCTATCTAAATACTGGAACCAATGTTTGTTTAGCCATAATTAATGCCAATCCGACTAGAGTTCACATCTACTTATTTCTTACGTAATGCATAAAATAACTTCTGAGCTGATTTAAATCAGATCTAAATTAATGCCCGTTTTGACCGACTGTTTGAGTTTGTAAATAATTATATTTGTATAATATATAACAGTTAGTTTTGTGAACTGAAAGTAAAAATGTTCAGTTAGTAATTTTAGAGCATTTTGAAAGCGCTAAAAAATCACTTATGTATTGATCAAAGATATATATAAATAGCGAGTAGGCGGTGTTCAAGACGTTGTAAGTGGCGCCCATTAGCCTAACAATTCATAACTTGAAAAAGTTCTAGTGTAGTTAGGAACGCTCTAAGCAGCTAAGTGAGACGTGTACGCCTATAATAATAATAAGATATGTACTTATCCATCATTCGTTATAACAGTAAGACATACAAGTTAGATATCAAGAAACATGGAAAAGATTGCTGACTGCGTGGGTTCAAACCCTGGCAGCGGCAAGCCGTTGTTCCCTTGAGCAAGAAACTTTACATTTATTGTGTAGTAATGGTAGGTTCCAGGAACGGATTCGAGAGTTTTCAATAAGCTTAAAGCTATACCTTCAAAGACAATCGAACTAAAATAAATTTGTATAAACTAAACTAATACACGAAAACCCCATTGTGTATTGAACTAGTTAACATAAACGATAGTTTAACTTTTAATTCGGTAATGTTTATTTTAACAAAATAGTAATGTATATTTACAGCAAATTTATCAAATCATTTACATGATAGTAAAGAGTATGTTAAAAAATAGATTTTATCAAGCTTAATATTTATTTTTGAATACAGATGATGTAATTATTATTTACCTCTATTTTCTATGTATATTGTAAGCCGTATATATAAATTGTAGAAAAAATATAACGGATCTATTTTTGGACACTGACTTAAAAATACTACAAATAAATACTGCGAATACTTTAGTACGCATTTAAATCTTTACTACATACGTCTACTAAATCACACTACTACAATCTTTGGAGCGAGCATTTTAAAAAAAATGGGAAAAATATTGTTACTTTATTTTCATATATTCATTTTATTCCTACACCACTGGCCTCTAAGTGCCAGTCCAACAAATATTGTTAAATCAAATTCAGACAATAAGAATGACTTGAATAAAGCAGCAAAGTTAGGAAACATTAAACTGGATGATGGTATGAAATATGACGGGAAATGGTCACGCAATTCACGGTCAGTTAGTAATACCAATGTTGAACATGTTATTAAGAAGCGAGGTAAGTGTGTTTTCTTATTTTGTTATTCATTATCCGTAGTAAATAATATAAAAAAATTTTATTCAACATTTTAATTTAAAACTTTTTCAAACTTCATTATGTTTAATTTAGCTATTTTAATTTTGAAAGACATGGAATATGATATTTACCTAGTCATTTATGTTGACTTCTTCAGTTATTTGATTTCTGTTATTACTTGATTTTATTTCGATTCTACTCGTTTTGGTGTATAAAATGATCCTATTAGTTATGCCCTACGATTCGTCACTCATTTATTTATTTATTTTCAATTAAATTAATTACATAAACTTTTATCATTTACTAGAATTAATGCATCAGTTTAAATACATGTATTTTACACTAATTTTAACAGTAAATTGTTTGTATAATGCACCGAAAAGCATTTTTCTATGTCTTTTTTGTTCTTTGCAAATTATGTTCCTTTTCACATTTCTATGTCTTTTATGTTCTTTACAAATCTTGTTCCTTTTCACATTTTCTCATGAAGTATAAATCCAATAGCAGATAATTTAAATTACAATTAATGAGGTTAACAAGCTCCACACAGTTTTAAATATTGTGTTAAATTGATAGACATGTTACTAAGTTATTACCTATGTATATATCTGTCCCCATCTACAAAATGGGTCATGTTATTACATGTTTGTAATCAGACATTAATAAAAGTTATTGTTGTGTTTTGTTTTTGTTTTTGTTGTTGTTTTTGTTTTTTCGTTTAGGTCATACGCATTCTTTTATTTAAGATCTACACCGCTTATATTAAAATGGAACGATTGTGTCCCATTGAAGGCTCCATTATAACCACCGAAGGAATACAACTGCGGATGTTTTTCTAAATTTCAAATATCATCATGGTCAGGCTCAATTAAACCTAGCTTGCAACATTTTGATTTTTGACGTTTTTCGGGCTTTCTCAAGAGCCCTGTTTTTTCTATTTACTATATTTATTTGTCAAAATTAGAATGACCAATCAAAGTTAATTATGTCCCTTTCTCCTATTTAAGCTGCACGGATAAGAATGTTCCGAAGACCAGTAGTGGCATTTCAAGCAACACTTACAAAAGCGTCGGAAACAGTTAAGATGTTACACAATATCAACTTCAACAATGTCATAACAAACATCGCCCACGCATACAACCATCATACCGGGGTCTTTACTACTTCTATTTCTGGAACTTTTAACACAAATATTGTTGCAGAAAGAGGACATTATGTTGAAGCAAGTACGTATTGTCCGTAATGGTGAAGTAACTGTTTCAGCAATCAGTGATCATAAAACTTCACAAGATGGAACTCATTTTTTGACATGGGATCAAGGAAACGCAGTCGCGATTTTAAGGCTAAGAAGAGGAGATAAAGTAGCTGTTACTTTACAATGGCCTCAGGGAAGCAATACCATTCATGGTGTAAGGAAATCAAGTTTCTCCGGATATCTCCTATGAACGGAGCACGGACATTTTTGGCTCAAGTATTTTAAATAGTTTGACTTTAATACATGGACAGAGATGCAGCTTTGTTTTGCCGTAACTTCTCCATACATAAGCAGTCAAAGAGAAAAGTGTCGAAAATATTTGTTCATTTTAAAATTCGCCAAGGAGTGATCTCTTCAAAATCTTTTCTGAAACATACATTTTAAAAATACATTCATTTGTTATTGATATAAGCTTGTTATATAAATTCTAAAAAGTATTATTTTTTATTTCAATGAATAACACTCAATAGGAAAACAGACAATACACAACAGGCTATGCATTTGCATCAGGAAAGTAGAGCATTCCTGCAATTTATAGAGGACAACATTCTGAAAAAAAATACCAAACGGAATATCGTGATTGTTATATTATTACTCAAACAATTTCGTTTATATTTCAGTATATCAATATATATAATATATCTTAAAGATCGCCTGTCAGGTACTTATTATATATGATATATATAAAGGACCTGATGATCGGCATCATCTACTCCATTTGGGTGTTGATAATTTAATTCTAACAACACTGGTGCTAGAGACCTTATTAAGTAATAATGGCTTGTCCATGCCTTCATTATATTGATGTTGCTGAGTGCTCTTTACGATTCTTCAATATTTCTCAAAACTCTCATACTGAAAATACCGAAACAGGGCATCTGTTGACTATTATCCCATAGTCTTACTGGCATTATATGTGTAGTCATTGATTATTTTAGGTGATATAGATTATATTTAAGGCTGCTTCAGATGGTGCCAGATGGGGAGAGATATTTCACATTTCATCGTTTGCCATGGACCGGCTCAATGTTACAGAGACTTCAATTTCATTAACAAGTTATGTTATCAATGCACTTGATAGATACTGATGTTTATTTTATTGAATACATGATACCTGTTTCTTACTATAAAATACATATTAATCATATTTATGTGCTAGGACTCTATTTTACTAAACTTTTTACATGTAGTTTAAAACATTGTTTGGTCTTAAAAAGCAATATGGTTTCAGATAAATGACTTACCTCATCTCTACAAACGTAGAATTTTGTATCACTTTTTTCACGGTACATTAGGGAACTTTACAGATTTGTTTGTTATATTGGATACAGCAAAAACATTTTCATTTTATATTATTATTTTTATTTTCAGAGCGTGTCAAATGTTTTTATAACATGTTTAACTGACATTTAAATCAAAAACGAGCTGATTTTCAAATAGAAAACTGGTGAAAATGTTTTTTGTATGCTTATCATAATGTAATCATAATTGTTGAATAAAGAAGATATTTTCAAATTCTATATAGGAAGACTTTATACACTTCCCTGTCGTTTTTATTATGCTTTATCATATTATTTGATATGATATGATATGAAACATGATATGATATCACCTTATACCAGTAAAAGTGAACTTTGTCGCTGATGATCTTTCAACAATACAGTTGTGCGATGTATGTAAATATATACTTGAAAGTAAATAGAATACATTATGTGACTTGTTTTAGCTGAAAGAAAAAAGAAGTGGAGGTATTGTCATGACTCTCTTGTCGGCGTTCGGGAACAGCGTTGATGAACATTTTCGATAAGGTCCTTTTTCTCAAAAAATATCAATGTAGTTTACTTTAAGCTTGTTGTCAAAAGTTAAGATAATCCTAAAATTATATATTTTTTTACTATGCAGCGAGCGCGCTTTGTATTGAAGTACATAGATATAAAGAGTTTAGATAAAATTTACACTGCATGCATAATTATGATTGTTTGATAACAATACGTACACAACATCACGGTGCATTCTTTTATATTCTGACAGTCATAGCTTTGCATTGATTAATACTGGATTAACTTGGCTTAGGCATTCACGGAAGTCACAAGATACCAATGGAATTTTTATACAATGACTTGTACTTAAAAATATGTTAGTTTCTTACTAAATATAAATCAGAAAAATAATTATATGGAACTAAAAATGCTATTTTTAGAAAATGATTCCATTGCACATAATGCATAAGCAAGTTTGACATTATAGAAGTCTATCTGTGCCCGAGACAAGACAAATTTATATACAACTGAAACGTTAAGCTCGAATGCAGAAAATAAAGTTTAAGAAAACTTGTTTTATTTTGTAGAACTACAAGAATACGTTTACCTTAAACGATTTTAAGTCATGCATTATGACGTATCTTAAAATATAATAAATTAAATAGAATAAATTCTTGTTTATCATTCTAACGAAGAAAATTTAAAGTCATTTTGAAGAGTGTAATAGTAAAGTCAAGTAAATACCAAATTTATCGAATAATTATCCTATGTTATAAATTCAAATACTAGGACATTTAAAGTAGTGAATGGTTTATTATGGACGTTCTTTAATACAATATATATAGTTATGCTGATAGTATTTAGAATAAGACAGAAAAATAAACCACGAAAGAGTTATATATGGATGATTTTAGCAAGTGTGAGATACATTTTACGATATTACACATATTTTAAATTTTATATAGCAAATAAAAAAAATTGATCTTGAACAAAATATTAAAATTATCATATAAAATTTATACTAAAAGAACTTTATCAAAATATCTTAAAGCAATATTTTATAGGAATATAAAAATGATACATTCCTATTGTTTTTATTTTATTTTACTTATGGAAAATGTGCCTATTGTAGACCAATCCACTTTAAACACGATTTGATAAATACATCAAGCATCCACTGGCCAAAAGGCGCATTTTAATTAATAACCTCTAAACCTTGTAATTAAAAACATCATCCAAACTACACTAAAGAAGAAATACATAAAAGAACATAGGAATCACATGATTGCATTTATGTGTGTGTGAGAGGGGAAGTCTTCTACAATACCAGTAACATGGCATCTATTTGAAGGAGAATTTCGTTTAAAGGCACATTATGCCTCACAAACAAATAATTGTTTCCTTCTTTAGAAAGAGCAAGCTTTAGTTTTATAACGTTTTTAGAATGGTTTAAGAGCATGTTAGACAGTTATCAACTGAAAGAAATAGCGCTGATCATGAAAGTACACAATATAAACAAGGTAGAATTTTGACTTCCATGCAGAATACTAAATCACTGTAACTGTATTACCTGCCACAAAGCAACATAGGCAAAAGATGGTTCAGGTAGTTGGCCAATCCGTAATCTTTTTGAAACTTAGATTGGATATCAAAAAATAAAAAGTTTTTCAGAAATAAATATAAATGCATGTCTGGGACGTAATGGGCCTTTAAAGTGATAAAGTAATACGTAGTTTTTTTGGTTTTTTTCGTCATTACTCGTGGGCTTTTATCAGTTGATATTCATTTGTAATAATGATAATTTTGGCATCAACATGCTTTTTAGGACGCCATAAAACTGTATGAAAACCAGATACGCCTAGGCGTTTTCTTCGTTTTAATATCGATAAATTAAGACACATTGCGTCACGCCAAAAAAAAATGAAAATTACATTTCTACAAATTGTATGACGACTTGTCTGAATAATAATAATAAAACATTTCCAGAAATGCTCAATAATAGAAACATTTGCATCTTTCCTCCCTGGCGATGGATAAATTCAAACATAAAATAAAGTGAACTATTCTCTAAATATAATACACACTTAAGATAAATACATCATTACGATTTAAATATATATAATAAATACATCAAATGTCAGTAAATTTTCAAACTTATTTGGAATGAAAAGGTTTGCTTTACGTTTTTTTAACACATCAATATTTTATGAATGTCCTGCGTAAGTAATTTGAAATTTTCAATATTTACTGTTTTATTTTTTTTATATTATTATTCATACTTTATTTTTGCCTCATTCGTATACATACATTCTTAAACATATATACAAAATTCACATAAAATCTGCATTCTATTTAAGAATTTCAAGAGACATAATATCAATGAGAAACATATTCAAGACCTATTACAGTTCGACTAAAATCAAATAGTTCAATAACAATAGTTCAATAACAATAGTTCAATTCTGTATATAAACAGAGTAACCATCGCTAATTGGAAAAAACTGCCTTTAAAAGATGATGTAAGAAATTGAGAACAGTAAATCGGAGCCCTAACGAGCGTATAAAAACATTTTAAAAGATCGATTATCATCCAAGATTAGATCTTGCATGACCTGATTAGCCATGATTACCATAACCTAGGAAAACATACATTTTCATGTTTAAAGCAAGTATAATGGCATTATTTACAAGAAAATAAAAGACGACGTTGTAGAATGTTAAAACAGGTTTTGGCACAATAACGTATCATTTCAGTTTTAGTGAACAGACTATTAATTGTTCATTTTTAGACATTCGTACAAATGCATTATCTACCGTTTTAGCTTTATCAAATAATGATTGTCGCAGGTCATCGTACACAAAGCAATCAAGAATGACACGGCTTTCGTCTTCAATACTGTCACAGAAATGGCATTTTCGTTCAAATACATGTAAGCCTTCGTAACGCCCAGTTTCTATGCGTAATGGCGCAACACCACAACGAAACTTGCTAAATGCAGTGCGATGACAAGGAGGCATAATGAGTGTACAATACAATTCTGTCTCATATTCTGTTTTAAACAGTCGATATGTACGCAACTTATTGCAACCACGTCCAGAAGGACCTGTGACACTATTCAAAGATTCGAGCCAGTTTAAAACAAATTTTTCTTGCAATTTAGTTGTAACAATATTCACTATAGTATGTTTTGGAATGGAAATTCTTATATCACTATATTGGTGTGCATTACAATTTTTTAACATATCATTAACATAAAAAAACAGTTCTTACATGATCTGTTTGCTACAGATGCAGTACAAAGTGCAACTCGTTTGTTTACTCTACAATAAAGCTTATAAGACAATCTAGATAAATAATAGCAATGGATTTCAATTGTCTGATCTCTGGGGGGTATCCATCCCATTTCACCTGAAACCGCGACGTTAGGCATATATCTACCGACACATAAAAAGAAGCACATGGCGCGAAACTGCACTGCGTTAACGCACGAGTAAGAGCGATAACCCCAGATAGCAGAACCATAACTGATTGTTGGCCAAACAGTAGAATCATAAAGGTGGGTAAATACATTGTACGGTAGACCACCAGCCGATTTACATTTAGCAATAAGAAGGCCAAGAGCCCTACTTGCACTTTTATCTACAACCTTTGCAGTGACATTGAAATCTAGTGCTCTTGCAACACTAATCCCAACTACATAAATTATATCTATCAACGATATTAAGTGTGTAAACACCACATATAAAACTGAACGATGTTCAACATATAGATAAAGGTCTAAAATTGACAATTTGAATTTTTCTACTATTTATAAACATATCGTTGGTGCAACACCAGTTGTTAAGTGCATTTAATAAACATTGCAAATCTTTCTCATTTTTTGCAAACAAGACAAGATCATCTGCATAAAGTAATATACATATTTTATCAGATCCAAAAGGAAACGTTAAAGGGCCTTCATATAGTGCGATCTTGAGGTGTAAGGCGACTGATTATTGTTCGATTTGATAAATGTTTAAACACAAATCAATTAATTTCATTCAAAAAGACTAGACCATTTTTGTCATTCTAAGTCACTTTTCTCAAAACGCTTGAAGTTTTTTTTGTCTAGTTAACAGGACAAATGTTTAACAAAAAAAACGAAAATATACCTTTTCGCCTAGACAAAAACTTCAAGCATATCGATAAAAGGTTTGGCGAAATAAACGTTTTTTCTTTTATCTTTGTGAATGAATTAAATGAATTAAAATCAGTCGACTTACACAATTCAACTCAATTCAATATTTAATTGGCATAAATATATACAATGTTCATCGCCAATACACAACTGTATGGCAGATATAATGTACAATTGAGAAAAGTATGTTATTACAAAGTCACAGTTGCAGATAAACCATGCATTTAATAATTGATTAAGGGAATAAATGACATTAGTCATATATAATTCTTTTAAATTATTTTACAATATCAACACAATGCAGGAAGTAGTTAACAAGCTATTACAATAAAGACAAACTCATGTAAAAACAAATGATGAAAAAATGCAATTTATAGTCATTACATATTTCTTTTAACATTAGCTTAATATATAAATCTTGAGGTTTTGTTTAAAATGCTACTCTGAATACTAGATAATATGTTTTTTAATTTGTTCAACTTAGGCCAATGACAATAATATTTCGGCAAACATGCATTTCTTATTTCTCTATAAAAAGGGCAAACAAGTAAAAAATGATATTCGTTTTCAATACTACTCATATTACATTTTGTACATATTCTAAGTCTTCTGTCAATTTTTCTATGCCTTCCCTCTTCTATAAGTAGATTACGAGCGGAACATCTTAGCCTAGATAATGCAATTCTGTGATTCACATTAGAGATACTTGATAAATATTTCTCTGTACAAAAATCATCTTTCTTTATCAAACAATATGTTTCTAGTTTTGGTGAGTAACGAAGTTCAGAATAAAACTGTTGAATATACTGATCATAAATTGA